AAAAATGGAAAAAAAAAAGACACAGAACAACACGAAGGAAAAACACATATAGATCTGAAAGAACAGTGAAAGAAAAACTGAATAGGAAAAATAAAATAAAAAAGAAGTCAACCAGAAATGTAAAATAAAAAAAAAGTTTAAAAACAGGGAACAAAAGAAAGCAAAAACATGTCCAGATCTAAAAAAAAAAAAACCTAATAAAAAAGCGGGAAAAAAAAAAGAAACACAATAATAGATCTAGAAAAATAAACGGGATGATCTGAAAAAACAAACCAAAAAAAAATGAATCAAAAAATAAAAAAAAAGGAAACCAAATCTAAAAAAAAAAAAAAAACCGAAAAACAAAACAAACATTAACAATGATTCCCAAAAATCTTACGAAGAGAAAGAAAGAAAGAAAAGGGAAAAAATAAACCAAAATGAAACCCACGAAAACTTTTAACCCATTTGTCAAAAAAAGAAAAATATGAAATAAACCCTACGAAAAACGCAACAAAATCCATAAACATAAAATGAGAAAAAAAAATTAGAACCAAAACATAATAAACTAGAGAAAACTACAAAGAAAACGAAAAGAACTCATGAAGAGGAAACGAAGAAGAAGAACCTCGGTCAAAGAAACATTAGATGCAGACGTAGAATCAAAAAATAAAGGAAGCAAGAAGCTTCGAGGAGAGTAAACAAAACCCCATCGCACAGGAAACGAAACAACAGAGCCTCGGTAAAAGAGAAATTAGATAGAAAACAAATGAAAGAAGCAAGAAGCTTCGAGGAGAGTAAACAAAACCCCATCGCACAGGAAACGAAACAACAGAGCCTCGGTAAAAGAGAAATTAGATAGAAAACAAATGAAAGAAGCAAGAAGTTTCTCGATGACACTAAACATAACCCACCACAGTAAATGACAAAAATGCCCAGCAAAAAAACACAGGAAGGAAAAAATTTGAGGACAAAACAGTAAAAATAAAATGTAGTCCCACCACTCTGCAGTATTAAAAAAAACGTGAACAAAAAATAACAGGAATAATATCAGAAAATCACTGTTTTAAAAGGACACAGGCAGTAGAAAAAAGAATTCAACAGAAAATAATAGGGATAAAATCGGAAAATCGGAAAATCACTGTACTTAGTACAGTAACTTTCCGACCTCCTTTAGTAGTATGTATAATGTATAATGTCCGAGTCCGAGGTCTCCCAGTTGAGATCTGTTTGTGAACTTCTCTACCCACGTTCGTTATATTGTTATCTTTCTCCTACGTAATCGACTTTAGTTTCGTCGAAAAAGCTTTCTGGGTAAGCTCTTTTTCGCTTTGAATTCATTTACTATGTTGCTCTGTTTTGTTTTGACATTTATTTCTTGTCTAGAACACGTTAATCTTTTGTTTCATTTTGTTCATTGTGTTAATTCATATATATATATATATATATATATGTACTCTATTTCATAATTTATGGCTATTTCTTCTTAAGAGATTTCCTCAATTCATCAATTTGTTAGTATAAGTAACATTGTAGATTATAATTCTGGTGTTCTGAGATGTATTCTCTCTGAATTTTTTGTTATATTCATATATTTGTAATTGATGAGAATGCTTCGAAGAAGAAAAGAAAAAAAAAATTCCGATTTCTGTATTTATTACCATTAGGGATCCCAGACACTGAAAAAAAAAAGAAAAAAAAAAAAAAAAAAAGTTATCTTAAAACAAAAAGGAA